GAGGCTTTTAAAGTCGGCTTTGCAACGAGGGGAGCTCTCTCCCTTAACGTCTCCTATGGAAAGACCGTGTCTAAGCATGCACACGCAAGTGCCCCAAAGGTTATTCCCCCTCGTCCCAAGAACAGCCAGTATTTCCATCAGATGGCTGAAGGAAACCTCAAGAGTTTGATTTATGTACGTTGTCTGCTTCTACCGAGACCCAGCAGAGCATGGAGCAGCCAATTAAAGACATAATCAAGCTGCCAAAGCCCAGGAAAGCTGATGGAAAAGCCACTCGGCTGTTTTCCACCCTGCCTGTCCCAGTGATACGCAGAGATGCAGACGTGGGCTCAGCCACGGCAGCTTCCCCGGGCTTGGATTTAGCATCCAAGAGAACGTACGCAGCCAAGGAAAAGGGAAAATGAAATCGGAGGTCATCTGGACCAGAACCTGGTGTCTCCTCTCTGCTGAAGCCATGTGTTCACCCCCACCTCGGTGCATCCCAAGCCAGGCATTGAAGCAGGCATCTCCCAGAGCACAAGTGTTCACCGCGGCATCGTGTTTCCCCACAGCTGCGGGGAAGATGATCCGGGGAAAAAAAAAAAAACCCAAACCCCAATAGGATCTAGCTGAGCCGATGTGCTCCAAAACAAAGGTGTGTTTGTCCGAAGGCAGGGAGCGCCCGGTGCGAAAACACAGCCGTGCCCCACGTGCCGTCAGTACAGTTGCCCCACGCTGCTCGAACGCCGGGAAGAGACGTGGGCTGGCCAAGGAGCAGCTCTGCTTTCCCACCGCCCCTGCCTGCTGCTCGGCCTCGCACCCCCCCGCCTCTACCAAGGGCAGAGCCTCGAAAGCAAGCACGAGCTTTCTTTCTAGTGCTGAGGGTGGGAAGGGGAGGTGAAGAGCAGATGGAAACTGCCTTTCAAAGCTGCAGAAGTGGTATTTGTTGTCTGTTTTCGTCAGCAGTGCTGAGGCATCCAAACCAGAGCAACCCAAGAGCCAGGAGCAGACAACCTCACACCTTCACCCCCACCAGCTAGCAATGCCCCAGCCTTGTAGTCTATCCAGGGAAGGACTGCTCTTGGAGTTTCTCCCTTCTCAAGACCCCCAGAACTGTCTCTCTGACCCAGCAGTGTCAAGGATGGCACTGCTGCCAGCGCTGGTCTCTCTGGGCAGGAGCACAGGCAGCAGTTCTTGCCTGGTCCTCCCTCTGCATGGCAAAGCCAGCTTTGTGCCTCACCCCCGCCTCGCGTGCCTCCCAGTGACAGCCTTACACATCCTAACACACATCCCAAGGGAAAAACGGAGCAGGCAGACGCTTTTCTGCTTCCTCAAAGGTCCTGTCGCTGGGGTGCTGGCAGCCATGAGCACAAGACAAAGCCGGGGAGTCGTGTGGCTGGGAATGCCAGTGCAAGACACAGCAGCCACAAGCACCCTCAGATCTGCCCTCCCGAGGTGGCATCTCTGGCATCTCAGACTGGAGACTCAGAAGGACCTGGTGGGTGTCTGAAAGCCAGAACGGCCTCAGAGAGCAGATCCCAGCTGCAATCTGCAGGATGATCAACCTCCAGTCCTGCTGCCTCCATCGACTCACTCCCAAACCTCCCACCCTCCTGCCCAGCCTGGAGGAAGCCAGGCAGTGGGTCATGAAGCTGGGAGCAAGGAAGGACTGGGACACAGAGACAGCGAAAACAAGTCTTAGCCCTGTTTTTTTAGGATAGGAGAGTGTGACGCAATGGTCTGCATGACCCAGGGGACAACGTCATCACCCTTTGCCCCTGGGAGCATCGAGACTGAGCTCCAAGGGGATTGTTTCTCCATCCCTTGCACACCCAGTGCCCAGCAGCTACGCATGAGTGTCCCTAAGGAAGGTTTCCACCACGGCATGCCGGAGCAGCCTTGCACATGCCCTCTAGGAGTAACGTCAGGGGTGAGAAACCAGCGTCTCCCAGGCTGCAAAAGGCTTCAGCTGGAGTTGAAAAGGACAATACTTTTTTCAAGCAGGCAAACATTTCTCTTGCAAAACGTCCCAATCATCCAAACTTCCCACTTGCTCTGTGTTTACAGGATGTCTAGGAAGCGGCTGGCACCTCCTTTGCCATCACGTAACCCTTCCCGGCATAGCCCAGAGCTCAGCTCGTCACCCTGTGGGTTACGGCTCGGCGCAGCAGCATCCCCGGCTCGACAGAACCATAGGAGCAGCTTGTCAAGTGTTTCCACGAAGCACGAGAGACAAGCAGAGAGAAGTGTTATGAAAACTGTGGCTTAATTAATTGAAGCTTGCACCTCTCCCCCTTCCCCCGAAGCGAGACTTTGCAGATCCGTAACCCACCAGATCGGCTGTTAACGTACCCGGAGCGGGGCTGGTGGCACGTCACGGCTCTGCTGCTTTTTTTTTTTATCTGGCATGCAGGAGGGAGCTGGAAGAGGAACTATCCCTGCTCAGAGGAATGACGAAACTCAGCCCAGATATCAGCTAGAATAGGAACAAATGGGGATTTTGGGCCCATGAGAACATCACAGAAGCAAAATGAGAATTGGTAAAAATAGGCTACGAAAGGCACGTGGATTTGCAGCTCCATGGTCGAAATGAGTCCGCACCAGCCAGCCAGCCTGGACCCTTCCCAATAACCACAGCATCCTCCTGCATCCCAGGATGCTGGGCTGGCAAACCCTTTCCCGAGGCAAGCTTAGCAGCCTGGGAACACGAGTGGGCTTCTTGGATCACCTGAGCCAGTGCCAGCCTCCGTGCCCCCCACCAATGGGTGCCAGCTCAAGTGGAGCACAGCGAACACCGGCCAAACCCCCCCGATACATCCCCAAGCGGATTCGTGCCGTTCCCATCGCGCGTGCGGCCACGCTATAAATCAACCGAGACAGGCAATTAGGGATCTATATTAAGGCCCTTATAAATATATATTGTACAGCAGCCTGGAACATTCGGGCCGTCTGGCTGCTTGATGGGCTGAGCCGTCTCGAGACTTGCACTGGCCAAAGTGTCCCCAAATCGCTTCGGGGGTGGGGGAGCCTGGCAGACTCCGACACGAACTTGGCTTTTCCTACCTCAGCCACAAAGTGCCGAACTTCACCTTGGCAGAAAACGCAGCTTCCACTAATTTACTGTAATCGGTTTCAAACTGGTCTTAATTAAAACTGGTGCGGACTCGCTCAACTCCATTTAAACCAAATTTAAGTAAGATTGGGCCAGAATGGATTCCTTTCCAAAGCAAGCTAAAGCTGGGTAAGCTGTTTAAAGAGTATCCACGAGGGTATTTGCGGCAGTGTAGCTAAAATGATTTACCACAATCCCTAATTGAAGCAATTTCAGCTCGGATATAGGGAGGGGAAGCTAAGAGCTGGTAGGGCCGAGCATCCTTCCCACCCAAGCGCCTTCCCCGGGGTGTCACATTTCCAGCTCAGCCTGGAGAAGGACCTTTCATGGCTCTGCTGGGAGCAACCGGGATAAACGTGCCGGAAGCCGGAGCTGGTCCGCGAGCCTTCAACCCATGTGGGGCTGGGCTGGAGCGCCGGCGGCGTGGGAGGCGGCGCTGCCAGATGGTGC